ACGCTAGACATCATCTCCATGCGTATATATATACACGCTAGACATCATCTCCATGCGTATATATACATGCTAGACATCATCTCCATGCGTATATATACGTGCTAGACATCATCTCCACCTGTGTATATATATGTATATACAAAAAATATAATGTCTCATGCACAATTTAAGCACCTCATGCAAAGCTTTTATTGAAGACTGTGAGATGGCTGAGATGTTCTCTCCTGTTATTAGCCATATTCCTGTCCCTGAGACTTGTATTGAAAGTATTGGAATTGACCTGAATCATGTACTTAATTCTATGATAAGTAGAAAATCAGAAAATAAACGAGGCTCACATCTCTAATCTTTGATCTACTTTAAAACCCTTACTGGCTCTGTTGGGTTTAACATAATGTATAATACTTAAGTACAAGAAGGGGCTTGTTGGTCTAGCTATACTGTCCCTTCCATCCACTAAACAACATTATGCACATATATACATACATACATACATACATAAGCTCAATGCCAGCTTTTATCATTAAGATATTTATCAAGTTTTACCCTTAAATTTACTGTCTCCACCACTTCTAAAGGCAACTCATTCCAAAGGCCATCCACTATGTTAGATAAATCAAACATCTTGGCTGAAGATGACTTATACTCTACCAACATTTATATTTTTATTCCCTAATTCTACCCTTCTTACAATTAAGTATGAAAAGTATGCTGTACCAACACTATCATTTTCTTTAACAATCTTAAACACCTCAATCAGATCCCCTCTTAACATTTCCTTTTTAAGAGAAAACAATTTCAGAGGTTTTAATATGGCCTTGTATGACAACTTTTTCATTCCAAATATCTCCCTAGTAGCCCTCTACTGAATCCTTTCTAACAATTTAATGTCCTTCCTAAGGTAATGTGCCCAAGACTGAACACAATACTCCAAATGTGGCCTTACCATTGATTTATACAGTGAAACTATAACCTCTTTAGACTTTATTCATTATTTATTTAGATATAACCTAACATCTTATTTGCCCTACCACTAGCAACATAACATTGCTTGGATGGCTTAAGAGACTGATCAACTGCTACACCAAGATCCCTTTTTTCATAACACTTTTAAGGTTTTCTCATCCAAATTATACTTATAATTCAAATTATAATAACCCACATGCATTACCTTGAATTTGTTCTAATTAAAGGCCATCAGATATTTATTGTAAATCAAAAAGAACAAAGGTCCTAACACTGATCCCTTAGGTACTCTAATTCTGGCATGAATTCAGTTTGACTGAACTCTGTTAATAACAACCTTCTGATGTTTTCCATCCAGCCACTTTTCGATCCATTGCACTAACTTACCTCCCAAACCTGTAAAAATAATTTTTTTAGCAAACCTTTTATGTGGCACTTTTTCTAGTGTCTCCTGAATATCCAGATACACCAAATCCACACCCTTATCCTCATCTATACATGTGACCTCTTCAAAGAATGTCAAAAGATTAGTGAGGCAAGATTTTCCCCTAGTGTTAAATAACTTTGCAAGGCATCTTTAATCGTACTTTCCAAATATTTTCCACCCTTGATGTAATTATCAAAACCATTTTGATAACTTCCTTTGAAAAGTAAAGTAACATTAGCCAACTTTAATCTTCTAGTACCTGTAGAAACACAATAGCATGACTGAAGAAAAGGTCCTTGGTATAGTGGTGGACTTGTGAATAATTTTCAAGGGGGATGTGTTCCCCCACACTATTACAAGAACCCTTTTTGTGAGTTGCTGTTCTGATATATTTCAGTAAAGTCTATTACTGCTCTTACATGTATATTTTGTGTTTTTGCTTTGATTGTTCAAAAAATTTTAAGATCAATAGCTTATAATAAGAATATGTATCTTATTCTGCAACTCACCCAAATTTCTCTTTTGACCTATATTTTGAGAACTGCTATTTCAGTATTTTTTACTGAGAATTATGAAAGAGCTTATCACACCTATTTGAAATTGTCTTAAAGGTAGATTAAATTAGTGATTTACTAAGTGAAAATATAATGATCCTACAGTGAGTGTATTCTAATCATGGTTATTAATATTTAAAAAGTCATGTAGTGTTTTGTTTTGTATTAATATGTAAATGATTCATTCTGTATAGGGAGTTAAAAACCGACATAATTTGAGTATGTCTGCTGAAGAAGGACTTCTACAAACAGTTTCTAGTGGTGTTGACATTGAAGAATTTGGTAATGCTGTGAGAGAAGCCATGAAAAAGGTAAAACACTTTTATATCTGTTATATTTATCATCAATCTGCTGTACCTACACTGTTTCTAAACACTTTAATCTGAGCACTTTCAAAATGTAGAACTGTCTTCATCAAGGACAAACTTGGGATGAAGAAGAAAGGTCTATGTTCTGAAATTGGTCAGGTCAAAGAGCTTATTTTTCTCTTTCATTGATTTCATGAACTGTTTATTAAAAACATTTTAAAGAGTGTGCAGACTATTTGTGCTAATAGATTTCAGTGTGTCATTGTACTATGCCACCTTTCATTAGACTTAAAATAAGACCCAAAACTCGAGCGCTTTCGAATAGTCAACTATTTGCTTTGACTTATAACATTAAATTCATAGTTTGTTAAAACTGTTTTTACCCAAAAAAATTAGCTTTTTTCTTTGACCTTACCTGATTTTGTACAAATGTGTGAGTAAAGAAATGATGTATTTACGAAATTCTTGGAAAATGCTTCTTAAAGTAAAAAGTTCTCAAACTACATTACAAATCTGAAGAGTTTTCTTGCAGCACCTGTTTTCATCTAAATGTTTATGTAATAATGTGTCTAGGAAAATAAATTATAATAATATTGATGTGTCACTTTGTTCTTACTGTAAAATATTGAAGAAATTGGATATTTCCTTAAAAATTACAAAAGTACAGAATATTTGTAGAGAGAAAACAATGCTACTTTATATTACAAATTCCATAAAGGTGGTGAACAAAAGATTTTAATTTCCTGTATTTCAGCATTTTCCCACTGAATTGAATGAAGAGAAGCAAGGACTTTTATTTGCACACAAACTACTTGTATGACCAAGTTAATAGTAGACAGACTTTTCTTTTTGAACAGCTTAAACACACAATAATCTAAAGTAATAAATCTTATCGGCATTTCTGCAAAATGCATCACTGTTGGCTGAGCTCAGCCTAGTGGTTAGCATGCTTAACTAGGGTTCTGTGGGTCCATTCCTTACTTCTTACTTGAAAACAAAAAGCTGTAGGTCAATTACCATCTGAACATATGCAAACTGAAAGGGCTGGTCATACCCTAGTAGTTAATGTGTCTCAATTGTGGATTCTGAAGAAGACAGACCAATGTTCTGTCAAGACATGTAGTATGTTTCAGTGCATTGCAATACTCACGTCACTGTTGATCATTCCAATATCAAATAAAGGATGTGTCCTCTAAGTATCACCTGCTGCACCATTGAAAAAGTTCACTGTCCACCTTTAAATAGTGTGTTCTACTACACAGCATTTTTTTTCTCATGAGGAAGTACACGTGACACCAAATGGAAATAACCCAGAACAATAGGTAATTAGAATGAAAGGAATTTAGCCACAATCCTTGACCTACATTCTATTATTAGAACTACATACACTACTAGAAAGTGTGTGTATAAAAGAAGATTTTGAAAATTCTTAGGGAACATGGACTGCTCGCCTCACTAAACTGAAAAAGACATGAAACACTAAACATGCTTTGCATACTACAGAAAGATTGTATTTTTTCCTTTCCACTGAAATGGACGACTTTGAAAAAACAGAAATGTGAGTCTAATTTTTTATATGCTGTGTCACTGAGTTAGGCTGGTTTTAGGAAATTCCACCCATTGTCAGTAATCTTGAACAAAATCCAGCACCATTGCATACAAAATAACTTCAAACATTTAACACTGCTCCAAGATAATTTATGCAGTATGTATGATTTTAATGTAAAATAATTTCTGTTTGGTTTTTCAGAATAAAACTTCATGGATGTTGTTCAACATGGCTGCATATTATTGGAGAGAGAAAGGAGATGCAAATAATGCAATAGAATGTCTTCGTCGAGCTCTCCACTTTTCACCAAGGTAAAACACTTACTGTGATTTGTCACTTATGCAGAAGGTTTTATTTTAGCCATTTTTTCTCGTTTTATTCTGTAATATATATAAATTAATTTTATTTCTATGTGCATGAATTTCATTCTTAAAAGAGACTTCTCCACAATTGTGTAACAGAATTAGATAAGTTTGTTTATGTTGTAAACACATCAAATATACAGGGGTATATATACAGGTAGCCAATTCATATTGCCTGACACCTAAGACAAGAATATTTGTGTCAGAGACAGCAAGTATTTACCATTACACTTTGCCAGACAGACAAGTACTTTTTTACTTGTTTTCAACATGACTCTAAAATTACCATTTCATCACTGTTATAAGATTGAAAAAGCAATGTTACACTTGAAATATATAATGCACAAGTATAAAAACACAACATTTATGAAATATACCATCTGTTTGGTTAATTACAAATGTAAATTTAACACAATGTAAATATGAACTATTAAAACACTTTATCACATCATTTTTTGTGGCAAATTCTCTACCTAAATAGTTTGACAGGTAACATATAAATTACATGTACTGTCTATACAGTAAATAAATGTGTAAGGAAACATGAAAATATTGATAATGTGATGTCTAAACATATTCCAGCATGTAAAAATTACATAAAAATAGAAATAAAAGCAAAGTCAGAGGAAAATCAAGATGGAATATACAGCACTCTGCCAAACTCATTTCTAAAGTCTGACATGAAATTTATATATAGCTAAGGTTAAAAAGAAAAAAAACTTGTAAGAAAAATAAGAGTACAATGACATATAAATGAATGGGGAGGGGGAAGAAAGGAAAATGAATGATTATCTTGTTATCAACTTGGATGTTGCTGAATCTCTCTTCAATAACTGTAATGAATGAGGGATCCAAAGTCCTAAATCCAGATCTTCAGCCCTACAAATAGCATTAGTCACTCAAAATATGGTAATTAAAATCATTCAAAATATGTTGCATAGCAGCACAAACACGCTTGCTGACTTCCATTAAAAAAAGTGCTCTCTCACACTAATGCCTTCTCCACTTTTCTCTCTGTTTACATTCCCGCAACTACAAGCTCTTTCAAGCTTAAAGTTTATTCAAGTTTCTTTCACTCTTGTAAATGTTTTAAGCCAATAAGGGCACACATAAATCATTTTTTATCTGCATTTCAAATTACATACATTCTAAAAATATTTGGGCTCAACCCTGAGTGGAATGGACTAATAATGTTTCAGGTTCTTTTAAACTTTGGGTTTAGCAATAAAAAGTGAGTATAAAGGGGAGAAATTGAAAAAAAAAACAACCTTTAAACCAACTGCCAGTGATAATGTCTGTAACAGTAGTCCAAGAAATATGATGAAAATAAAAGGGAAAGTGTGTTTCAGTCTTACTGGAAGAACTCTAGACCATAGTTAGTCATGAAGGAATGCCAGTCCACAAAGAACCAATCTCCAAAATCTATTGTAAGGTTTCCCTGAAATATCATACCGTAAAGGTTAGTCACTTTGGAACAGGCAAGAATTCTGTCATGAATGGATCCTGTCAGTTCCTTATTGAGTCAGTCAGAGCATATGAAAGCAGTAAATATTGCATGGCATGTGTGTCATGGTATAATCAGGAGATAAAAGAAAAAATCAAATAACACTGCTATGGTCAGAGTAAGTATTCCCAGATTCACAGCTCAGTCTGGAGGGCAACTCCTTATTGTGGAGGGAATGCAGTGTTGTTTAACAGTTCATACTTAATTGCTAAACAAAGTTGGTGTGTATGTAAAAGACAATTATACCAACAGAAAGAAAGCCTTTGAATTCATTAGATGTTACGCAGAAGCTCATGGAGAGGTGACTTCAAAAAAGTAGTTAGTGGATCAATGTTCATCTGCATTGTAGCTGATGGGGGGGGTATATATAATGTCATTGTTGAACAGAATACTGTGCTGGTTCAGGTTATCAGTGAAAGAAAGCCCTGTACAGTGTTAGCAGATCTTGTTACACTGGAGCATGTACATCCAATAGGTGTCCTAGATGGCATTGTCAATGGAATCAAAAAGTTGTATTTAGATTTGGCAGATTTTGAAGTCTCCTAAAAACTAGGCCCAGCATCAGTTAATTTTGATGGTACACCTGTTATGATGGACTCGATAGGTGGCGTTACAGCATTACTAAAAAATTATATTCTATTTCTACTCTCATTCTACTGTGTAGCTCACAACCTTCAGCTAGAAATACCAGATGTGGTGAAAACCTTACACTGCTCAGTTTGAAGCATCTTTGAAGATTGAAATACTTCATCTGTCGCAGTTGAGATAATGATTGCTATTTTTTTTTTTTTTTTTTAAGAAACCCATCCATGAGTCAACATTTTGATTGATACTGGTACTATGGTTACCATTATTTGATCTGATCTGGTAATGAAACCTGGGATATTGTCTCCAGCAATAATACAAGTAGGTAGATTGATACAAACAGCAAGTGGTCATAAAATTCCAGCAAGGTGAAAGTTGGAAGTCACCATCATTTGGGAAGTTTCTCTACTGAACGTGATATGTGAGAGGTTGATGTTTAAGAAGAGTACTTATTGGGAATAGATTTCATGTAGAAACACAGACATGAGGTTCGACTCACTTCAAACAGTTTCTCAGTTTATGATCAGGAAATCCTTGTGCATTTCACAACAGTTACAACATTAGAGGTTGAACTTCCAGTGACAACAAGAAGGGTAATTATTGGGAATAGATTTCATGTAGAAACACAGACATGAGGTTCGACTCACTTCAAACAGTTTCACAGTTTATGATCAGGAAATCCTTGTGCATTTCACAACAGTTATAACATTAGAGGTTGAACTTCCAGTGACAACAAGAAGGATAATTATTGTACCACCAAGAAGTAAAATACTTATACCAGGACTTATTAGGAACTTTGCTCTAGTGACTGGGTTATATTAGAATCAAACTCTTCTAGTTGTCCAGAGAGATACTTGTTGAAAGATCTCCTGTAGATATGAAGAATAAGGATATCATCATTAGGAACATGAATACAACAAATTATAAGATCCAAATCAATTCTGGACAAAACGTCATAGAGGGTGAGGTTGTACCATTATTATTTCCACACCAGACAGCACTGTAGTCACCTTAAGAATAATATATATGGAATTTGATGTTAAATCTTTACATAAGGTTAGCTTACCACCATATTTACAGGGGCTATGTGGCCAGAACTGTGAAAGTCTTACAACTGGTCAAAGCAACGGATTATCTGACTTGCTTCTAATATACCAAGATACCTTCTTCACTGAACCTCATGATTTAAGTTGGACAATGAAAATATCTCTTCAGATTGATATTAATCAGGCCCCATTACTTTTGTAAGCCAGAAATCTATTTGCAAAATGGGTTGAGGTTCTCAAAGAAATAGAAACCATGAAAGAACAAGGAGTAACTGGACATAGTATTAGTCCATGGGCATTGCAGTTGTACTGGTGAAGTAGAAGGATGGATCCACAAAATTTTATGAATTACCAAAAAGTGAATGAAGTTGCAGAAAAGCATGCCTGCCCAGTGCAAAGGATTGACTGTACTTTGGATGCTTTATCCAGGTCAAGATGATTTTCGGGATAGGATACGTAGAGTGGATAATGACAAGTGCAAATTGATGGAGCAAGTCAAGAACACATCCTTTACTTCAAAAAGTTGATTGTGTTAATTTGTTGAGTTACCATTTTGATTATGTAATGCACCTCCTACATTTAAATGAGTAATGGAATGTGTTATCTTTAGACTACTCTGAAATGTTGTACTCACCTACATAATCACACTTAGGAAACCTTCAGTGATGCTTGTAATAGGTCAAGTAAAGAACTGAATCCCAAAAAGTATATATTGTTCTGTCAAAAAATGAGTTTCCTGGAGCACATAGTCAGTAGAGAGGGAGTGTGTACACATCCAACCAGTATTGAATCTACTAACAATTGACTGAAGCCACATAACTTGTGTTAGGTAAGATGTAAGGTTACCTTGAACTGTGCTTTTACTAGTGCCAGTTGTGTCCAGTTTTTACAATCATTCTCTGGCATAATTCATTTTCTACACAAACTACTGGAAACACCAATAAGGTTTAGCTGGACTGTAGATTGTGAACAGTCAGTCAACAAACTAAAGAAAGGTTCACTTATTATGTCTGTATTAGCATACTCAACTCTTGAACATTCACTCATAATAAATACAGATTCCAACAACTTTGCAGTGGGAACAGTGTTATGACAAGTACAGCATGCGATCATCTACTATAGCAGGTATGTAGATGTTGAGAATGGCTCTATGCTATAGTCAAAAGAATCAATGATTTGTGTTATAGAATTACAGATGGTCCAAACCAAAGGTCATTCATCATGATCATTTTAGGCTAGAGTAGCTGGTGATTGAATCTTGAGTAAGTGAAGTCAATGAATTATGAGAGAGTGTTTGTTAGCCAGTGAATAAGCCTGTAACTTGTGTAAGTTACTATGAGACAGCTATTTAGGTCAATTTTGTAAATTTTTAGTTTTTTTTTCAATGCAATATTAAAGATAAAAGAAATGTCATACATATGAGAAAGTTAGTGAGATTATTAAGCTAGGCCTATTGTTTGATGAATGTTAAATTAGTTACATAGAACTGTCATATTGTAGAACTTCAAATTCAAGATATAAAATGTTTTTGTTATCATTAAGAGGAATGGACTTTGCATCCTTCCTTTTAATAAATAATCAAAAAGAATCCACTAATCATTAAAAGCTATTACAACATTAGATAACTATTAGAAATAATCACAGAATTGCTGGTACAAATCCTAATTATGTTCTTGTGTACTCCTTCAAAGATGCAATAATTTTTTTTTTCTTTCAGGGAACATAAAGATATCGCTTTAATTAGCTTGGGGAATGTCTTGCATCGGGCTCACTTTTCAGAAGAGGCTGCAGTTATAGTACGTGCAGCTATTGATATAGACCCAGACAATGCTATTTCACATTATACTCTTGGAAACATTTATGCTGTAAGTTTTCATATAAACAAATTATTTCAGAATTTATTGTTAGAGCATTAGTGTTATATCGACTGACAGTACAGTTTTATGTGCAACAAATTAGAAATATCTGACATTCCTAAGAGGTATGTGTGTTATGTTTTCTAACAAAATCCAAGAAATGAAAATTGTATGGAATAATCCTTCAAGGCCATTGCTTGACCATGAGGCTAAAATGATTTGAAAAATGTGTGGAATAACTTAAGTAACGATGTATGATAAGCAGCAAGATGACTCAGCCTTCTATCTGTAGAGGACAGAGCTGAGTTATAACTTGTTACTTATGTAACTTTCTGGAATGAGACTTTTCTGTTCAAAATTATTAGTGAGTTATATTGCTTTTAATTCTTGAATTTGAAATTCAATACATGATTAATAAAGTGTGCATGGGCCAAATAAACTCAGTCATGGGCTGGATGTAGTCCATCATTAGATCACACTGATAAGTAGGATTATTGTTTTTATCAGAGTAAGTTGTCGACTGTTGTATTTATGATTTTTTCTAAGCTAGACCAAGTTATATCTAGTGGTTGCAATCTCAAAGCTTTTTCTGAATCCGAGGATTTCATGATATTAATAACTCAAATCCTAGGATTCTAAGTCATTTATGTATGATCTAGTTTGTCTTAGTCAAAAGTAATTCAACTACCTGCATTCTTTATCTGAGTTAAGTTATTAAAAAATAATGCAAACAAACACAAGAGATTGGTAAAGCTTTAAGCATTTGCTTGAATATCTTTGTTATTGAAACTATTATATTACCATATTGAACGAATGAATTGGATCTCTGTTGTATACGTATTTGACTGCATTACCAGCATCCAGCAAAACAGATCATTCGGTATCAAGGGTGTCAGCAACTAAACTTGAGTACAGGCATCTATTCTATTAATTATAGTGACGTTTAATCGAGAAATCACATTGGTATAAAATCTGTTTAAATGTTGATCAATCAGAAAAAAATAACAGAAAATGAAAAATAAATTCAGTAAATTACTTTGTAGAACTGTCTGAACTGGAAGGTATAAACCGTAGTCTAGTGTTGTGATTGTGTTTCGTGGCAAAAGTTTGGAAACTTAAAAACATTAAATGTGAGGAAATATCTAAAATTATGTAAATTTTTTTTAAGCCCAAACCAGATATTAGTTAGCCAGTTTAATGCGGTTTGGTTAAGTATTGCCAATGTAAGAAGAAAAAACATCAGGCAATATCAGTGACACCCATCTAGTCCAGGAAAGGTTAATTCAATCCAAAACAATACCAGGATTGTCTTATATAAATCTTGAGATTTGGCAAGCTACATTACTTATGGGATCCTGGGCTTTACAACCACTAGCTGTATCATAGGAATGATGTGAATTATTAAGTAGTTAAGTGATGTAGTTGATGTAATTGAACTTTATTTCATGTTTTTCATATAAAACTTATCAAGTAACACTAAAGCACCAGCCTGGAGAAATCAAAGTTGATCATGTTCCACATATTCCATTAATAGCAGCTTTTGGAGAGGCATTTAACTTTTTAGTATATTTAAATTTGTTGTTTAATTCTTATAATTTGTATTTGTAATCTGTGCTGTTTAGTTTAGTTATTTCTTTCTTTTTGTATTATTTTCTGTAGGTTTTGGCTGACTACAATAAATCAGTGGTTTCTTTTGAGAATGCTTTAAAAGTTCAGCCAGATTTCAAAAATGTGGAACAACATCTTCATGCAGTTCTCTGTCATAGCAAATTAGAGAAAGCCTTGGAAGCTCAACACAGGTCAGCATATATAAAATAATAATATTCATTCAGAATTACAATTGTTTTGAAAGTGAGAATTTTTTAAAGAGGAAAGTTTGAACTTGTTCTGTTTAAAGAATTTAGTACATATAGTTACAATTACTTCTTGGCTTTTTTTTTTTACCATGCTATTTAGAACAAAAACTTGTGTATGTGTGTGTGTTTTAACTAGAAGTTGTCTTATTGCTAATTTTATGGGCTTGCCAAATAAAACCGTTTTCAGAAAGATAACTCGGTTGAGAAAGTCAGCAAAAACTGGCAACAATAAAAATCATAGGGTTGTCTAATTGTTTGAGTTTTACTGTTTGTTAGTTCAGGTTAACATTTTACCCAACATATTTTCATAATCTGAATGATTTTTCCACTAAAATCTGTTACCTTTAAACAGTCACAATGTAGCACAAAGTAATGAGAAGTACATAAAGATGTGTAACTTGGCTAATAAACCAATGAACTTCTCTTGTTTTTAAAAAATATTGTTTATAATTTACTTCAATTACCATACTGGTATTGTAGATTTTATTTTGTGTGCAAATAAAAGATAGAATTTAATTCCAGAAAATATACATATGTATTAGTTTTATGTTTTGTAAGTCTGTCATATTTAAGGTTAGCATAAATTAGGCTTAGCAGAACTTAAACAGAAATTCTTATTTTTTTTATTTCAGACCTGTGAACTTTGAATGAACATTAGGCTTGTTTGAAAACCATAAGAAACTATATACATATAGTTAATGAAGTATTTTCCTAATTGATAATTTTAATATTTTAGTTTTTTATTAGGGAGAGATTTCTCCAAGCCTGTTCCCTTGGATGTGGTTTTTGTAGATAGTATGAAACAGTTTTACTTACTACTTTTTCAAAAGTACTTATAAATTTCTGAAATTAAACAAAAATTTACATATTCATCTAAGAACTATAAATAAGTTTCCTGCATTGTTGTGATAGTGCCATAAGTTTGTAAGTTTCCATGATATCCATTTTAAGAAGTTAGTTTATTTCAATGCTGCAAAATAAGCTCTTAGTCAACTTGTTATAGGCAGTTATATGTTAAAATAATAACCAAAATAAATCTTAACAAAAGGATTCTTGGAATTATCAGGTACTTTTAATTTGAAACTGAATATTACACATTCTCAAATTTCTTCAGCCTCAGAACTTTAGAACAAACAATGACTGATTTTTTTTGTTTCCGTTTTAGTTAACTTTCAATTTTGTGATGTCTCTCCCTAGATTATTTGTTGTTGGAATTAGTTGTACATTAAAGGTATGGGACAGCAAAATGTGTATCAATGCATATAAATTTAGTCTGATGTAAACAAACATTATTTAAACATTTCAATTAATATTTATATGAAAAAGAAGGACTGCATTAAAATCAGAAAGACCAAACTTACGATGGAATAGAACATATTTATAATACAAAACAAGTTTTAACCAAAATCTAGAGCTAACTTTACTTTGGTTGTATTTTGTTTTATATTATAAATATGTTAAATTTTGTCTGATATATTTCAACGTGGTATGTAATGGTGCTAACTTAAGTTTTTGTTCCCGGTATTCTGCATTCACTGCATGATACAAATTTACATACACACAAATGGATGTAAAAGATACATTAAACACTGATCTTGGAAAACGCAAGTTCAAGACTAGCAAAGCTAGCAGTATATAGGTACACTTGTACCATGTAGGCTATGTAGTATTACTCAATCAAGTTAAGCTATAATTCTTATCTAGTTATGTGCATAATGGTGATTGATTGGTTTGATTTTTTTTTACCCACTGCATGCTCTTGTTTCTTTCTGTTTTTTTGGCATGGCAATCATGCATTGGAAGTTGCAACAAACTGTGAATTATTGCAAGCACTATTGGAAACATTATTCATTGTAGTGTTTGTAAATCTCGGAGCTGATTTATGAGGTGATTTCATACATGCATGGAATATGCAGATCTTCATTTTGTATGGAAGATCTGCTTTAAACACAGAATTCAGTATAAACATTGGGTCTCCCTAAAGATATCTGTTAGTTTTATTCATGTTAAAGACAGCTGAATTTCCCATATTCCTGAGGCTTTTGTAATTATTTTAGTTGCTATATACACATGCTTCTAAGGCTTAGATGTTTCAAAATAAATATTCAAGTAGGAAACTTGTAGTGGAATCTACATAAATATGAAAATGATTTTAGCATAAGTTAGTCATCTGTCTTCTTTCATTTTTGTGCAGCTCGTTACAACGGACTTTGTCAGAGTTGCGAGAGTATCGAAAACAACATGAGTTCTGGCTTAAACAACATGAAAAACTCTTGAGTGAACAAGCACCACCTGAAGTGAAACTTGAACAGAGGTTGGAATATGAAGAACAAAAGATCAGAGAAAGTCTGGATGGTAGAGGTAGTGACTCTTCCCAAAAGAATGAATGTTGTGTTTTGCCTGTAGTTCTCACTTTCATAACACCTTGAACACCATGTTTTCTTGATGTAGACCATAAAAGTAATTTTTAAGTTTGATCACAATGTAATTTAAGATATAAATTGTATTGGATCTGTTATTGCTCACAGAATATCATCAGATACCTGAATTGTTTTAAAGCAGGATCTTCCAGTAATGTAATTTAAGAGATAAATTGTATTGAATCTGTTATTTCTAACAGAATATCATCACAGTTGTTTTAAAGCAGGATCTTCCAGTATTATGTTAAAATTCAATTCAGATTTTCATGTATACATGTAGATATTAATCTAAAGTTATTAAAGATTTTTGTTTGGTCAGCTGTTTCACTTTTTATTTTGTTTATTCTGACCTGTTCTTTTTACTCTCACTTAAAAAATCACAGTTTTCTCTTATAAAAACCCCCCCTTTTTTAAAGCTGCTTCTCCCATATTTTTTCAACAGTTATATTAAGTGAAATGAATATTGAAAATTTTAGAAGTAAGTTGTAAATAAAGGTTTAATATACACAGACTTTATATTCTGTACTTAAATACAAACCAGAATAAGAATGGTTTTTCTTACAATCCTTTGTAAAAGAGTATTTAGATATTTTTTAAAGTTTCATATAACATTTACTTTACTATGTAAGTTTTAAATATTTTCTTTGAAGCTCTTATCTAGTTAATCCTAATGTATGTGTTTTACATTTTCAAAGTTTGTTTCAGTCTGCCTAACTATTTGATGTAGTATTAAATAATATACTTGCTACAGAGAAAACAAAACTTGCCATGCATGCAAATTATGGGATTTATAAAGTCAAAATACTGAAGAATAAAGTTATAAAAGTGGTTAATATATACATACATGTATGTATATCCAGAACTTCCTCTGTTAGTGATTATGTTCTGAAATTGAAAAGTTTGGGCTTATGGCCATTTTTTATCTCAAAATCTTGTTTTTGCTGTAAAATATCTGAAATACAAGCTTATTCAGATTTTTGATCCAGTGACTTCTCATTTGATATCACTAATACATATGTGATTGAAATATCTAAGGGTTATACTTCACATTCAAACCAACAACAACACATGTAAAGTTATTTCTCTGCCCTTGCTTGAGTTTTTGTTCATCTGTTATTAAAGAAGGAGGAACATGCACAAGAAAATTGCTTTTCATGTTGGTACTATGAGTAATCCTGTTTAGTAAACATGAAATGTTTTATTGATTTGAGTCATTCTTAAATTACTTTTACTGTTGGATATGTAGAAAAACCTAATTCTGACTTGTATACAGTCATTAAATATAGAATGTTTACTTCCAGCTACAGACAGTAATAATAATAATACCAGTCTAATTGGAAAAATATCTTGTTTATATTTAATGTTTCCCTTTTATAAGAGAAACATTAGATAATGAGTAATTCAATTACAGCATAATTATTTTTAAGTATTAATAAGAAAATGTTTTTCATCTTTTAAAAATGTTTCTGGAGGTTTAATCAGCTAATTTTAAATTTTGAATATAACTAAGATGTTTATTAGTAGTAATTTTGAATGTTAAACTTAAATAATTAGATAAATCATAAGAAGGTCATTACTATAGAATATGGCTGAGAAAACCAACTTGATTAGTACTGCTGGAATCAGATAGGTGTCGGAGTTTGTTGATATATTCATCAGAGAACAGCTAGGTGAGAAGAAACATTTATAACCTGCTTTGTGTGCTTTGAAATTGCTGAAATTTCAAACACAATAAAATGTTTATAGTTTATTAGGATTGTTGGAGATTTTTTAATGTTTTTTCGTTTTACTTTAGCCTAGCTATTAGGAATTAAAATGCCCTCTAATGGCTCAACTGTAAGGTTTCAGACTTGTAATACTAAAGATCAGGGTTCTATACCTGTGATGGGTACAGTGCAGATGGACCATTATGTAACTTTGTACTTAACAACAATCAAATTAGGGAATAAAAAGAACATACTTTGCTGAGAAAATGATTAATATTTCATAGCCTATGAGGTAAAGACTGCTTGCAAGTAAACCATGAAACTAACAAAATTAAATGAATTAGAAAGCATATAAAACTAGTTTATTAGGATTGTTAGTTTTTTTAGAGAGTTAGAAGGCATATAAAGCTAGTTTATTAGGATTATTAGAGATTTTATTAGAGAGTTAGAAAGCATTTGAAGTTAGTTTATTGGAATTGTTAGAGATTATTTTAGAGAGTTAGAAGGCATATAAAGCTAGTTTATTGGGATTGTTAGAGTTTATTTTAGAGAGTTAGAAGGCATATAAAGCTAGTTTATTAGGATTATTAGATTTTATTAGAGAGTTATAAAGCATTTGAAGTTAGTTTATTATAATTTATTAAGATTGATAGAGTTAGAAAGCATATAAAACTAGTTTATTAGGATTGTTAAAGATTTTTTTAGAGAGTTAGAAAGCATATAAAACTAGCTTATTAGGATTGTTAGAGAATTTTTTAGAGAGTTAGAAAGCATATAAAACTAGCTTATTAGGATTGTTAGAGAATTTTTTAGAGTTAGAAAGCTTATAAAGCTTCATTTTAGTTAGAATTAGTTTAATGATTTTTCTTTTATGATATATCCTACCTTGTTGAGTGCTAGATTTGTTTAATCAGGGACTTGTACATCTGCCATTTTATAGTCATGCAAATGGCAATGAATTTGTAAGTTGTTTTCCGGGAATGAATTAACATTTTGGCTTCATTCCATGCCTATATTTACTTGTATTTCTATTTTATTTGTCATAAAAATTACAAAAAATCTTATATATTAGGTTTTATTTATTTTCAGTAAATAATTCTTATTGCAACTGTACTATTGTATAATGACTTTTTTTCAGTAGAAGATCATTGTAGAAATACATTTGGTTGCTTTCTCACACTAGTGTTGTTATTATTATATTTTTTCTTACACTTAGTAACTGATTGGTTTGAATTCTACTTGTTAATTTTGAAATTAGATCCAGAAACACAAAAGTTGAGTATGCTAAAAGCTTAGTTATTTGTGTCATCATATAACTAACACTAAGGTTGTGAGGATCAGATATCAGTCATTATCATGGTTAGTAAGCTATACAATCATTTAAGTTTAATTATTAATTAATTACTTATATATATATATATATATATATATATATAAGTATCTACTAATTAGCTCATATCTTATTTTTACCTGTTAATATTCTGTTGCCTTTGATGGTACCCTTAGGAGGACTGTTTGTGGTGTGATTCAGTCCTGGGTCTTCTTATCAGAAGATATTCACTTGAAAATAAGTCAGGAACGTAATATACAGTATTGTCAATCTATCTACTGTAGCCCATCAGAGAAGAACATACAATAATATGAGATAATAGGATATGAACCACACACATAAAAAAAGAAAGAAAGAAAAAGAAGACCTAAGTGATAACATATTCAGTAAACCTGACACAGAACTCATAAAAGCCTGCACACCTCACTTGAAGAGATCATTTTAGTATTTGATTCAAACTCTTAACAGGATAGTCCCCAGTCAAGTGTATAATACACTGGCCTTTATACCAAGAAAACCCAGGATTTAATCTCAACCACCAACACTACAGACCTTCTCAGGACATTCCTTAAAAACAGCAGCAGATTAGCAGTCAAACCATAGAATATAAACTAATTAGTATCTAGTAATCAAAACATAGTAACTAATTAATAAATTAACTTAAATATAAAATGATATGTCATCACATTGAACATTTTACATTTTTGAATACAGCTATTTGTAGTTTTAATGAGCCAGCCCAGCATCTTCATGTGAATTTAAAAAAATGAGTCATTCTGGAAAGGTTTGGGCTGTTTTTATTAGACTAAAAGAAGTCATTTCGCACTGTTTTTGATGTCATAAGTTGCTGGAACAAACCTGTGACCTGATCCTAGACCATGAGAGCCAACATGGAGAAGTTAACATATAAATATGGAAAGGTTTTGGTTGTTTTTATTAGACTAAAAGAAGACATTTGGCACTGTTTTTGATGTCATAAGTTGCTGGAACAAACCTGTGACCTGATCCTAGACCATGAGAGCCAACATGGAAAAGTTAACTTATAAATATAAAATAAAACAATGTAGCAATAAAACATGCTTGAAATGTTCTAGATGTGATGGTTTAAGTGTAGCAATTAACCTAAACTGTGGGTCCAGTTCGGATGAGGGAAGAACTTATTCGAAGATATCCCAATTGATTTGACATACTAGCTGGATTGGAGATTCTTCAATTGATTACTGCATTGACAGCAAAACGTAAAAGAAATGGGCACAACAGTATCGTTATCTTCAAAAAAGGGGGATTGGAATCATACATAAGAATCATTAGTTTCAATATTGTGGGAATTTAACAGCACAGTTGAAGTTGGATTAGATGCACGATGTATTATAAGATGATGTTCCTAGTATTCCCAAATGCCATTTCTGTAATGAATAGTAATTATAAGAAGGATGGTATAGTGCCCAGTATGGTAACACCATAGTATAATCCATATAGATTTCATCATGTCCTATTTTCATTAATATGTAGTTTTTTTTTTTTCATTTTAGAAGTTGTTCCTAGCATCATTCATTGAGATCTTTCGAAATAACCCTAAATCACCAGTTTCAGGAATGATCTCCATGTTGACCATTCTAAGCTCAGTATAAAAGATGCTCAGCTTGCTCATTTGGCGGGTGTTAAAAAAAGTTTGCTCATATAGACTACATCTTAATTTTTTGGTACTTTTTTAATGGTTAGGTGTCTTTTTTTTAAAACATTCAATAATTATTTCAATATTAACCATACTTGCCCATATATTTTACTGTCTAGAAGAGTTGTTTATTCTGATACTAGGTTCTATATGGCTGTTTTGGACACATCAAGAACAGATGAGGTAATATACAATTGCATGAATAATTCCCAATGATGAGATTTATCAATGCAACATAGTTCACTGAAGTATTGGCTAATTTGTAGTTCTACTTAACGTTTTGAAAATCTATTTGTAATGCTCAATTGTGCCTTCTCACGTGCAACAGTCACTTGAAATAGACAATGCATACTATTTGGATAGCTGGTCAAAAACATTGGCTGTAAAGAGCAATTAACAGCCACATGGAAGAATGCCAAAGTTTTACTGGTAGCTTACAATGTGACATAGCAGACCTGGTAGCTTACAAAGTGACATAGCAGACACAGGTCATAACTGCAAGATTTGCATTCAGAGCTAAACGAGATAGCTCTAGTTATCAAATAATCGTATTGAACATGTAAGTTGTGTAAGTTAATACTTACACTGAGATCATAAAAAAAGCATGAATGTATGTTCTCATGGTTCTTGATGTATTTCGTTTGAATGGGAAAAGGTTTATAGAGTTTAATTAAGGCTTCTCTATATATAGGTCATAGTGTTGGGAACTTCTTCGAACTCAAATATACAAATACTTAAGCATAATGCACTGAAAAATACAGTTATCAAATGTAAATAAAGTTAAACACATTTAATTGAAAATATTAAAAAAATTTATTTAAAATTTGGGTATGGTTTAGGTGAAAAATTAGATGTTCATACTGATGTTGCTGGCTTTATGATAAGTTTTGTACATAGTGATAGAAATTCTTATAATGATGGAAGGCTCAGCCTGTAGACAGTCAATTACATGGTACTAAATTCTGAGATGTGCAGTGTATTTAGAGCATAAACTTCTGAACTGTATAATGTATTTAGAATATCGGATTGAGATGTAAGTGTATTTAGAGTACTAAAGTCTGAACTGTACAATGCACTTAGAGCACTAAATTCTTAGATATGCAACGTATTTGAAGTCAAAATTCTGAACTGTACAGGGTATTTTTAATACTAAATTCTGAGATGTACAGTATATATAGAATATAAAGACACATTCAAACTGGATATGTTAACGAGCTATATGATCGACACTTGCATGCTAAACAACTGTGAGATAGATGTAAGTGTATGTCTCTTACTCCTTAATAAAATAATTAAATATATTTTAGCTTGAGTAGGTAAAGAAATAGTCATTTTTCATTCAGTTGCAGCTGTTCAGACTTTACTGTAATAAAATGGATCGGAAGAAATCATGAGAATTTAAAAAATACCCAAAATGTTCAAATAAGTATATTTTAACTTTTTTTTTTAATCAGAAAAGAAAATTCTGTAATCAATTTAACAGTGAAAAAAAGAGTAACAGAGAGGTTTAAAGAAAAATCTGTAACCAGCTGAATGATCAAGATTAACAATTAAAGTATGGCAAAAAGAAAGTTCAAGTGAGTTATTGCATTCCAATAAATGGGAAAAACATATAGCATTAAAACTTGAAAACTGTTCCTTTAAATTAATATGCAAATTGTAATCTAGTGTCATTGTGGGAAAATTCCACTGACTTTTGTTTTTTTACTTCCTTCGTAACAAGCATGGAATTTTTATATTTACACATGGTCTAGAGAACTCATTTAATTAATTTTCAGTAATTTATGTTTGAGGTTTTTTATAACTTCATATCTAATATTTCAAATAAAGCACTTACTCCAGCAGTAGCTTTGCTTTCAGTTTGAAGCTGTATAAACTTGAGTTTTTAACTACAAACACTATGAAAACAAAATATAACCACCTCTGTTGCACTTAATTGTCATTTACTGAACTCATACATTATTAATATAATGATTTCATCAGTTCTTGGATTAATAAGGAAACATTAAGTAATTAAAATAGTTTATATTATACTTTTGTTTTCAATAACTTCTCTGTACCATATTTTTTTAATGTTTATCACAGGTCAAGATTGTGTTCAGTTCCAACAAAATGGTCACACAGTCTTAAGCTGTAATATGAGAAGAGAAGCTTACTACCAGGGGACCCAGACACAGGTAGACCTGAGCCTCAACCTGCAGTTGATTCAAGCTGTTGAATCACGTGCTGGTCGACTTGGACAGAAGGTGGCAGACAAAATGGCAGATCAGTGCCATCGATCCTAAGTTTCTTCATATATATTATATATATGTAGTTTCTTATATAAAATCAGTTACTTTTTATCCTAATAAGTAAAATATATACAATATAATCATTTATTTTTTATTAAATTTTTTCAGTGGAAGATAGAAATATTAAGTTTTTTTGTTTTTTTTCATGAAATTATACTTTGCTAATATCTCTATTTTCCACTCTATTGCATTCTTTGTTAGATATAAACAAACTAAGACAGTCATGCTATTCTCTTTAAGAGAGAGAGAGAGAAAAAAAAATGAAATTAAAATATTTTGCTAAATTTCAATACTCAACAGATATGGTTTTTATATGAAAAAAATTATCATATGATTCAGATTTTAAATATATCCCTTAAACTTTTATTTACTTTTAGAATAATTATTTTTTACATTAATTAACTAACTTCATCACTGAAGCTTTATACTCATTTAGTTACGTATTAGAGCATGAGGTTCTGAAGTTGAAAGTAACAAACAAAGAAGAATTTATACCAGAAGAATGTGACAAGTGATATCTAATTTAAACTAAACTGAATCAAAATTAATGTAAACTTAAGATTTTGTCATCTCTTTCCAGTCAACTTGTAGTCTGGTAATGTACATTTTAACAAAATCAAACTATTCTTTAAAGTTGATTTTTTTGTCATTTACCTTTAAGGAGTTATGGCACTCAGTTTTACATATAGTTTCACATTGATAACTTCTACTGTCCGGAAACTCTTAAAGCAATTTTTACACATTAACGCGTGTTAAATGAGTGATTAAAAAGTTTGTGAACAAGCAGATTATCACATTTTTGGTTTATTAATGAAATATAATTTCTTTAGAGATCACACTGAAATAATTAAAATAATCTCAGTTTTTTGTTACACTTAAAGGCAGCTGTGGCTATTTGTATTGAATGAATGAAGTGAAAAACAAACAGAAGATTCCTTTATTACTTCTTTTATAACTAAGAGAAGAAACTAACATCTTCATTGTTTTTGGCAGAAATCCCCATTGGTTAACATCTCTCTACTAATTCTGTCAAAAAGTCATGATTGGTTAATACATTTTCTCTTTTGATTCATTCCATCAAAAGTCATCATTTTTAACTTTTTTTTGCTTGTTCTGTCAAAAGTCATCATTGGTTAAGACCTCTTGACTCACTCTGTCAAAAGTAATGACTTTTTTAGTGTCTCATTACCTTATTCTGTCAAATGTCAAGATTGATTGACTTTCTTTATTTGTCCTGTCAAAAGTCGTGATTGGTTAACATCTCTTGACTCATTTTGTGGAAAGTTGTGATTAGGTAATAATTTTAAAGTATGTGATATTTTAATGAGAAGCAGTACTCAAAGAACTACAAAATTCATGTTATAAATATCCAAAAATCTAAAAAGAAAACTAATACAATTATTATCTCTTTGACATAATTTTTTGCTTCACCAGTACATCATTTTCCAATAACTTTAAACTTTTTTATTATTTATATATATATCTCATGTTTTGAGTACTCCAACATGAAAATAAATGTATGTAATTATTCCTGCTGTCTTTTTTAACTTATACAATGAATGATATATATTATAGTATTATTTATTTCTTTTTTTTTCTATTTTATCTTACAAAATAATGTGTGTAGTGTTATTATTGTTTGAAGTACTTGTATCGTTTTTTCTAGGTGTGTCCATTCTAAATATTTATGAAAAAAACAACTTTGGTATAATTAGATACAGTCTTCGTATATTTATGTGTAATGGGTGAACTTAAAAAATACTAGGCTCTTAATATAAAATCTCCTCTATCAAAAGTGTGCAATTTTATAGGCACATTGTTTATACACCCATTATTTCTTAGCATCCGTTCTTTTCTTTATTCTGCCAAGTTTCATCAGTTACATTTTGTTAATTGATGCAGTGCGAAAGTATAAAATGCTAGGTGATAGTGTATGTAATCAACTTTGACTTTTTTTTTTTGGTAGAAAACGATCTTCAACATGTGGGTATAAAGAAAGATTCAGGAGGGTTTCATCATATATTTCATGTTGAGCATGAATGAAAAGTCATTTAAGCACTTTTATTTTATCACTTGGATAAAAAATTTTTTTCACTTAAACAGTTATTACCACAAATTTTGAAATGTTTAGAAAAGGGATGATTTAGTTTTGGTACCGAAAGAATCATATTGAGGCAATTGTGTGTTAACAATTTAGGTAAAGATTTATAGAGAAAATTATTGTAAAAGACTAAAGGTTTAGAAGAAATAACACACATCAACATTAGTCATTGTCTTCAGGTTCAGAAAGAACAATACAACTTAAAGAAGGCGTAATACATGTTAAACTCAATGATTAGTAGTTTGTGTGATTGAGAGTCCTAAACACATGAGTTGTATGAAAGTAAGGTTGAAATAGATGTTTCTAGATCTTTTGAAACATAAAAAGCAAAGTAGTTAATTTTTTTTTTTATGTAAATTTATGGTTTTTTAAACATTTCACACCTCATTAAGTTAATTAATGTCTTGAAGATTATGACTTTGCTGGATGTAACAAGTTAAAGTATTGATTATTTGCACTTGAAAGATGAAATATGGTAAGATGGAGTATGTGTTTCACTAGCACTTGTAGTGAGTGTTCTGTTAGCACTACTCTCAGTGTTGTCTTAATGCTTGAACTTTTTATGCACTACACTTGTGAAATTGAATGATAAATAAAGATTTCTGAGATGCACAAAAGAAGTTTTGTTTGATTTAGGCACGACGAAAAACACATTGAATTTTCATTCAGTCAGAAATCACCATCACTGATTCGTCTCCATCCAATAAGAACACAGCACGATTTATTTCAGCACTCAGCACTTTACACATCACATTATTATTATTTACGTAGCTACCCTCTTCTGGGTAATTTTAACTCTTGTTACCTATTGCAAATGTTGAATCACATGACCTTAAAGACCATGTAAAAGTTTTACAGGACATTTTATGATATAACACAATGCTGTGTAAGCTTACCCTTTATATAACACAATGTAGTGTAAGTTTACCCATTATATAACATAATTTGGTGTAAACTTATCCTTTATATAACATAGTATAAGCATACCTACTATATACACAATGTAGTATAAGTTTACCCCGTATATAACACAATGTTGTGTAAGTTTACCCATTATATAACATAATTTTGTGTAAACTTATCCTTTATATAACATAGTATAAGCATACCTACTATATACACAATGTAGTATAAGTTTACCCCTTATATAACACAATGTTGTGTAAGTTTACCCATTATATAACATAATTTGGTGTAAACTTATCCTCTATATAACATAGTATAAGCATACCTACTATATACACAATGTAGTATAAGTTTACCCCTTATATAACACAATGTTGTATAAGCTTACCCATTATATAACATAATGTTGTGTAAGCTTATCCTTTATGTAACATAGCATAAACCTACCCATTCTATATCAATATAATATAAGCTTACCTAATATATAACACAATATAGTATTAGTTTACCTATTATATAACACAATGTAGTATAAGCTTACCCATTATGTGATACAATACAAGTTTAGCAAACACTAGCTAATTTTATCTACGTTTACAACCTCTTCATTATATTAACTCTAACTTCTAAGATCATCGAGGTTCGTATGAACCCTATTGGGTTTTTAAACTTTTTATTTTTGTAAACCATTTACACACCAACTACTTGTGGGACCAGGACTTTACTACAGGGACATTAATAATATACGAATTACGAAAAATATTACGATTTGGGTAATTACTGCTGGTTGTCACAGGAACACTAATAACATACGAGTTACGAACATTGTTACAATTCGAGTAGTTACTGTTGGAGTCTTCTATGTCTTTTTATGTAGAAAATGAATAATTTCATCAAATATTTTGTATGATTTTTACACTGGACTTCACCATAGCGAACGCTATAAAAGTAGGTTTATCACTTATGGGTTCACGGAAGGGAAAAATGTTATATTGAACTTGTATTAGTTTCAATATGACTGTGAGATGACTCGTGGATCCTCAATATCCCCTCAACCCACGATAACGCTTATCCAGAATAGATTTTGTTACTTAACTAATGACTGAAGAACATCGCTGTGTACAGACGTATTTTATTAATTATTACCTGTCATATCATCGCGCGAATTTCTTATATTTGTCGATCTGTTTATCGGGGCCCCCCAGTGGGTCAGTTGTAAATCTTAGAGCTGTAGTGGACAGAAAACAGATAGGTAATTGTGTATCTTTGTGCATAACAACAAACAGACAAACTATCAGTAGATGACCGGTTCAGTAACAAAACTACACTTTTAATCGCCAGTGAAATTTCTGTTCTTGTTCATTGTGTATACGTATTGCCGATTATAAAGCTTTAAATTGTAGTCGAGAACAAAAGAAACAATTATTTCTGTAGCCTACTTTTAAAAGTTGTTTTTATATTTATTGAGTTTCTCGGTACGTATCCTTATTGTTATTCAAGTTCTCCTCAGCTGTTCTGCCATTTTCTATTATTTATATTACTTTTCATATTTTAAGCTGGTTGAGGAACGAAACAATAGTACGTTTATTTATTGAACAGCCCTCCCCCCAGTTGCTCAGCGGTATGTTCGAGGGATTATAACACTAAAACTCGAGTTACGTGTGGTGGGCACAGCATAGATAGCCAAGGGTGTAGCTTTGTGTTTAACAACAAGGAATTGAAAATAGAAGACTTATTGAACATTACACAAGCACGAGACAAGTCCGTATCATCACGCTTGCTTGTTTGTAGTTAAATACAAAGCTACACAATGGGCTATCTGTGCTCTGCCCACCACGGGTATCGAAACCTGGATTCTAGCGTTGTAAGTCCGCAGACATACCGCTGTGCCACTGGGGGGCATCATCACGCGCGTAGAACATTAGACTTTTTCTCTAAGTTTGCTGAGACCTCAACTTTGATAATAATTTAACTTCTTAATTAAAGAATGTTCTTCGTCAAGCAATTCCCGCCTTATGGGCTTTCGTGCGGCAAAATTAGGCATCTTACAGCCAAGTAGTAACTTATTTTTTCAATACAGATGCGTAGAAAGTTGGTTTATGATAATAAAAAATATTTTGTAGAATAAAAGATTAAAATTGAGAAAAAGCTTTCCTTGTTACGGTATTCTACACTTTTGGTATTAATGTTTAGTGTAACACTGTTGATGTTTAGTTTTCTTCTCAATGAAGATTCTGTATAATTTCGTTCCGACGACAAATATTATGGTTCGGATGTGTCCATATTCCTTTAAGAAGTTTGTGGAGTTACTTTAGTTTAACACAGCATTTCTTTCTCTCTCTTTTTATAACTGCTTAAAAGCTTCTTGGTAAAGGAATTGGAAACCTAATAAGAATATTTCTAAATAGTTATGTTTACGGTTAATATTTCACTACATCTTTTATAATACGTTGCGACAGAGTAAGTTCCGGAAGTTGATGTTTTATCAACGCTAGAGATCTATAAATGCACGCGCTTTAATTTAAAGGAAAGACCAAAAAATCCCCTGTTTAAAATGAGATCGAAAAAATCTTCTCAATTCTCTCGTCGAATGTATTATTGTTTAAACAGCTGTGCCACCTGTTATATTTATAGGTGGACTTTGTAGTAAAATTTGGTAACAAATACTCTTGGAAATCTTGTATTAAGTGATATACATATATATGTGTGTGTAGTAGTAGATAGTTTCCTTGGAAGGAGGTATTAAGTGATATACATATATATGTGTAGTAGTAGTAGATAGTTTCCTTGGAAGGAGGTATTAAGTGATATACATATATATGTGTAGTAGTAGTAGATAGTTTCCTTGGAAGGAGGTATTAAGTGATATACATATATATGTGTGCGTAGTAGTAGATAGTTTCCTTGGAAGGAGGTATTAATGGACTACATCTGTCTAGAAAGTTTTCGGACGACATTTCAAACTGCTAGCGCAGATCATCATAGCAACAGTAGAAAAGTATTATCTAGTTTTACAACAAATTTACATTAGATGGCGCCCCTGATGTGGATAGCCACACAAAGGCTCTTCTTTTTTGCGGTCTGTTGTAAACAGCACTTACTTCCAAAGCTGACTATCCCGGTTTATAATCTTTTTTTTTAGGTACAAATTTTAGTCCACACGAAATTAAGAACATATAATCGTGAAATGTGTTCGTTTACGAATGTGTTATTATTAGATATTTCCACTTGTCTGGATTTGTTTGCACAGTATTTTTAATTAATAAACTTCTTACACGTGGACCACGCAAAGATGATTCTTGAAGCCTTGCTGTACTAACCCTGGTCAACTAATTTGTACTTCGTTCTTTTTGGCTATCATTAGTTTGTTCTCTTTGTTTCTTGGTTATTGTTGTTTTTGTTTTAGCGCAAAGCTACACAATGTGCTTTTACTGCTCTTTTCGCCACTGGGAATTGAACCTCAGATTTTAGTGTTGCAAGTCCGTAAACCTATCGCTGACCCACTGGAGAACATTTTTATTTTTTTCTTGCATATTTTGCTGAGCTTCCTGAAGTCTAGTAATATAAGCGCACCCATTACGTCCGGGGTCCAGAGCTCGCCTTAGGGTCCTGGAAGCTCTTGGGTTATGGATTAAATTTATTTATACATTCGCCTGCTTTTCTTGAGAATAATTTTCCTAATTTTGGTGCATTTGTAATGGGACAGATTAAAAAGTGCCACCCACCCACCTGCATCCTACACCACCGACTGTTGTTCTGAGATCCAAGTTTTCAATAGATTGTTGCAGTTCACGTGTATTCTCTCATCATACACAACCTAAATCCTCCATCAAAGAACTACCATCCTACCACGTGACATGCATGTTTATATATATATATAAAACAATTAGAAGGCCAATTTCGCGCAGCATTCGTGCTTCGACTGAAGTCCTGTTTGAAGTCACTCGATATAAGTTGCTGTGCATTTCTTTGTTTTTTGTTCTCTCTCTCTCTAGGAATTTTGACTTTATTCACTATTGACTTATACAGTCCACAGGGCGTTTTGCTCTGATAAAATATCAATAATTAACCCAAATAATTCATAGCACTCGTATAAACTGGCGTGGTTTTAAGCACCAGCACCAAAAAGAAATTCTGGAAAGTTTAGTTATCGTTAATTATGTTTTTGTTCCCTTCTTTTTCTTATATGTTAATTGAACTTACAATGTTTCGCTGCCGCTTTATTTCTACTATTACCTAAAAAAAAATAAACCTTAAATTCAGTAACAAGATATGTATATAAATATATATATATAAGTGTATATGTATTTCTCTACAGATATTTAGTTGTTCAATCATTGTTATTAGCACTCAATGTTTTCAGTATGTTAATTTTATTTATTGTGCAAAAGTTATAATGGGTGAGTACCATTTTATACATTTTCATACTTGCTAAAATGTTAGTAGTCTTAGTCTGTCTCTGTATAATTATTGCACGAAAGTGACTGCAGTATCTTGTTTTTTTTATAAAAATTTAAGCGCATGAAACAATTATTGATATCAAATGTTTTAAATAGTAGCGATTTTAGTGATTAAGCATTATTCTAATATTTTCTTTCGTCTTTCACTGGGAGCGACCGGAGTGCGTCAGGGTGTAAGATCAGAGGATCTAGGTTAATTCTAGCTCTTAAAACGCGTCAGTTGATCTCGTTATTTCGGTTAACTG